AATTATATTATATTACAATGAGAACAAAATGTTTATTCAACCTATAAATCACATATTAATGTTTCAAAAATAAAACATTTAAAAAGATCAATTATTAAATAAAGGATTTTATTATATACGATATGTAATGTTACTGGAATCGAAATAGTGTCTAAAAGAGGTTAAGCATAACGCGTCAAATATCAGAAGAAACTCAACTACCTGCCAAAAACTGAAACAGCTGTTAAATTACAGAAGAGAAACGCAGGACACTGTTTAATTTTAAACGAATTTTAAAAAACAGGCTATTTACTGTTTTTTAATGCATAAACTTTATGCGTTTCAAGTTTAAATAGTTTTATATACTGCCTTCAACGTATGACCACTATCGATATTACGAAGGATACGTAAGCTTATCCTTGAGAATAAATTAGAGATGGTGAATTATTAAATTGGATTAAAATGAATAAATAAAATGTATCAGAGGTAAAAAAAAAAAGCTATAAAGAAATGATATACTTACTATAAAAACACCAATCTATTAGAAATGGTTTAAAAAGGTTTAGTGTTTTTACATTTGTTACGTCACTTTTCCAGGCGTATTATACTGTTTATGCAAAATTATTTTTAGAACTTATAGAATAGATAATACATACAGTAATCATTGGTAGTTGAATGAGTAGAAAAGCAAATTATTAAATTTTTTTATTTTTTTATATTTGCGATATATTTTTTACAATTCATTACCATAAACTATTTTTGTTCGATTAATTGAAATTTTTGACTAATTACTTGAAAACAAATGGCTATGTTTCCAAAACCTTTTAGGATGTTTTTATCGTCGACCTAAGTGATTTAATGCGCGTGAAAAACTAACTCGATCGAGATCTCGAAGTTGTTACCATATCCTGATAAGGTACAAATTATAAAAGTAGACCTTTGACGATATCGAAGTGTATTTTATTAGCCAAATGAATAAATTCAATTTTATATTGCCAATTTAAACTTGTTTAACAACTGTAGAAATTTACCCTAAATATACTTTCTCATAGTTTTTTCTTTACATACACGATTTTTTGCACTTCGAATATTGAGTACCTTGAACTAACCCAGGCCGGTCGTTGTATGAAATTATATAATCGGAGTAAAAATCCTGATAACAAGACACACGCATTCCTGTCTCTGAAATTACACGCGGACTACGAACTTGAATTTTCAGCGCAGCAATTCGGGGGCAGTACGTCCTCGCTCATTCGATGAATAATGAATGATATTCTCGGGGCGAATGACACAGTGAAGAATGCTAGTGTGAACCTTATATTGTGGAACGATTCACGCGTATTAGCTTTTACCGTCTCTGCTCTCATATCTTCTCGATTTTTATATTTATCGTTGCGCTTCTCTCTCTCTCTCTCTCTCTCTCTCTCTCTCTCTCTCTCTCTCTCTCTTTCTCTACCTGTCAATATAATTTTTTCTCTCATTTCTTTCCTCATTCGTATATACTCACGATACTCTATTAGACCTATGTCGATCAGTTGATATGATAGAATGATAATTTACCTAATCATTTATTCGTAATTGATTTACATTTAATAATCATTTACCAGTATGTACCATAATACGATCATAATAACATAGAAGCTTCAAATGTTTGCTCGAACAGCTTTTTCGCAGACAATTTTCACATAACCTCTTCTGTTATGTGAAATTCTGTTTATCCTTCCACGTGTTTTTCTTTTCTCACATCCAGCAATTCCCTTTTCTCCTCGATCCTCCCTCTGTTTCTCCTTTTTACTTTCTCTTTCAATTTTTCATCTCGTCATCGTCTTTCCTGTATCGATCCCTCCTTTGGCTCTTCTCTTTTTCGTTCATTCCGTTCTCCTTTTCTTTTCGTCTTTTTTTCTTCACTCTCGTGATACCATTTCTCTCCTTTTCCCTCTTTATCTTTTTTCTTTCATTCTGGCAGCTATCTGTGACCGTACACACGAAAATATGTTCGTCAGTGGCAGACACACATCCTGATTACTAATTCACGAAGCCGCGGACTACTTGCTTGCTGCGTTGTGACACCAAATCCCATATTCCAGTCGAATGGAGAGTCAAGACGGACACGCTGATCCTTACAAACTCGCTGAGTGCATAAAATCCAAGCCAATTGTACGAACGCTAGGCGGAAACTGGCACGTGAAAATCGACCTTTTTCGATCGTTAGATTTCGTCGTATCGATCGCAGTACTGGAATTCTCCCGGTAAATACGAATTCCATTACAGCGATCGATAACGTTAGAACTCTTTTCGTAGAAATTGCTTCGGTAATTAAACGATGGTATTAATTTCGAATGAAAAGTATCAGACGTTGTATAATTTGAGAAGAAAAGAATGACTTTGAGAACAATTTTTTGCCTATCGTAGCATTTGCTTCTTCGAACCAAATATTGTTTTTCCTATCGTAAAAAATAAGTGAGATATTTAAGATGCTCAAGTTAGATGGGACACTGTATATACAAATTTTAAACTGAAATATAATTTCCTGTACAGAACACATAAATTATTAAATTGTGTGATTCTGATAATTTCTCTGAACGAAGGTTTCTCTCCCCTACTTTCAAAATTAGAGCCAAAAGAAACAGAAATTTTGTCATAGATATAACTATATACACACACACACTCCTTGAGAACTATCATGATCGCATCCTGCGACTAATTTTCAACCATACATCCTCCTTTCTCCATTTTCTTCTACGTCCCTACTTTCGTCGGAATTTTAATTAGAGCCATTCTAATCGATGCTTTTTAACAAGAATTGTAACAGCCGTATTCTGTAAACTATGATGAATATAAAACTTAGAATAGTATGTAATGATAAAGTATGTAGATGATACACTTCTGTGTGTCAGTTAATTAAAATTAGGCAGAGAATTTGAAAAAATTGAAAAGAAGAAATTTAGTTGACGATTTTTCACGAATCGTCTCAATTTCACGAATCATCGATTCATCTTCTCAATTTTTTTCTACTTTCTGCATAATCGTTACTCTTTAGTTTCAAAATGCACGAATTTCAATTAAATCGAATTACTTGAAGAAATTAATAATTGGGAAATACAATAATCAAGTCTTTAAGGAGGATACCAAGAGGCTTTTTTGAAATGAATATTTTCTAGACAGGCATAAATAGTTATAAATAATTCAATTACATAAAATAAACTACGTATTGTATATTTTCATTTCTAATGCATTAGAATGAAATTTAATTACCTAATTCCGTAGGTCAGCGCAAACTTTTTATGAAACATGAGCGTATTTGAAATTTAAATTCAAATAATAATACTAACTATTTTCAGACATTATCACACATGTATAAACAATTATACATTCATATAGATTGCGTCAGTGAAATGTTTATATGCTAATATCTTTAAAACGAGCAGAAATAGAAACTTAAAGCTTTTTACGTTCTATTCAGAAAACAATGAAGTGTTTCTACTTGTTGCAAGTTCATTTTTCAGAACTAGATCAAACTGGAGGAACAAGAATACTGTTTTATGAAAAGAGAACACCTTCATAATGATTGTAATGAAATTGCAGAATAATAGTAGCACCTAAGAATAGTTTCTCTAATACTACTATCTTCTTTATAGACGATACCTTTACAATCGGGGAATAATCATTTAATTATTTGCTCGCATACACTTTAGTCCATTCGACTCAATATTCGTATCACTTTATGCTTCGTATCTCGTGCAATTTTAAATCAACGAAGCAAAGCACTAAGGAAAAAATAAATAAAAAAGAAAACAGAAATCTTTATACCGAAAATGAAAATCCTGAGAAAAATACTAAAAATGAAAATCTCCCTCGCTATTTCAGTACGTTCGGTATTAACAGAAACTTAGAAATACTAATTAGAATATTAATTAACGCGAACCACGGCTAGAACGTGCGTTAATATCTGTGAACAGGTAAAAACTTATGTGATTCGAGAAAATTCGTGTCGGAAACGGATAGAGTAGATTAAATTGAAACTCGTCGAGCAAGCAGCCTTGAAAAAAACCGTGAAATCGTGAAAGGACATGAATGTGTAAACTAGAATGTGTCTGACAAAAATTCTGTGATCGCTCCAAGCGGAATTCTTCATTCTAAACGGAAGCGAGGAGTATGATCTATCAGAAGTTAGACCGACAGAGGAAGCTGCCTGGTATTTACAGTTAGATGATCGCTCTGGCGATCAGGCGTTGCTTTCGCTCCTTGTCGTCCCCAAACGGAATTCCGGATTTTCGTTCGCCTTAAGCCTGTATCATTCGCGAAGAAAGCTCGCATACCATAGCGTACTTTCGATTTAATCAGTTTCAGCGATACCAGGTGGACTTTGGTTAATACATAGATTTGCAACGTACGAAGGCGAGACCTATACAGACAGGTTCCAGGAACAACAATGCTCAGTCCGTTGGAAGTCGAATTTCTGCGATGGAAACAGAATACAAGCTGAGGACCGATACGTAGAGAAAAAATCTCCACTTTTCGATATTCTTTCGGTTTTAGTATCAAAGCACACGTTTGGTGCTTAATTTTTCATAAATAAAACAAATTTGATAAATTTTACTTGACGGAGTTAGTAATTTTCATATTCCTCGATAGAAATGTATCAACCCTTTGCACTCCAGTGGCGCCATTACGGCGACACGCGTAATTACTTTGGAGAACTTTAAAAAGCAACATTCAGGCTTTTCTATATTATTGAAACAGTGGAAATTAAAATGAGAAATAGAATTAAATAAATTCATAAACGATAAACGTTCTTTTCCCAAAATGAAACTTAGGGTTTTCGAAAGTTTCGCTGCAAAAGTATACTGTAGTTGCTGATTAATTCTATCAACAAATGCTTGGAGTACAAAGGGTTAAGTATTACCTTGATAGATATTCAGCTTGAGAAGTGGATGTTGATAATAGATAACAGAAAACTAACGATGTAATTCTTGACTTTAACATCGATGCAGCGTCGATTATATCAAGGAGTTCGAAACACAGAAATTGTGATTGCAATAGAAATAGGTGTAACTTTGGATCAAATATTTTATCGAAACTAAATGACACAGTATTGTTATACAATACGGTGGAAGTGCAGATGCACAATACAATGCACACTACAACAGCACATTACCTGGAAAAATTGCAAAATGCAGCTGTTGTTAAATGTGTTCATGCTTCAGAAATTGATATCGATAAATACTTGACTCTTAGAGATAAGATTAGTTAAGGTATTGTACGCATAACGTGCAACCTCCCTAACGCGTGAATCATTATTGCTTCTTTTTTCGCTCCGGCGAGGGAAAAATAAAAAATAGTTCAGAGCGCGTAAGAAGCTAGATTAGACCTGTAATCCGTCAAATCATTGAAATTCTTATTCTACTAATTTCGTTCAATTAAACATCCTTTATTTCCTCCACTCCTGAATCTCAGTTCTAATACCGTTCTAACAATGGAAGATACTAAACATTCGAGTGATAAAATGAATTTTTATAAATTCAACGTTATTTAACAAATTAACAAATTCAAATTGTTATAAATCAAAGAAGGTACACAATTTACATTACAGGTGAACAACAATTTCAACATCGTTCAAACGTTCCTATTACGAGAATTGTCTACGATCGAGTGTGCCTATCAGCTGCTACCAAAATGGTGGACAAAACACGGTACCGAAACCAGGGAAAACGTAAATACCTACGCGAAACGTCTTTTTCGATAAATCGAAACAAATAATGCTGAAAGAAAAAAACTCCACAGAAAAAGAGAAAAAGAAGAAAGAAACTGAAATTCTGCTCGACTTTTTCGTTCGGACAGGAAACGTTTCCGATGTTCCCGAGCGCGATAAAGTCGGTGCACGCCTCGGCCCCCCTCTCAGGTCCTTTTACTCAAAAGGTACAATGCACGTTCTCAAGAAAGGGAGAAAACGCAACGAGCCACGTGGAGAACACGAAGAAGGTGGAATACACACGATCGGGAAAGAGGACGGTGAACGAGAACGAAGGAGGTGGAGAGGTAAGCTCGGTATAAAAGAGTCGTGGCAAGCCGCCTCGTCTGTTTTAACACTCCCACCGGATCGCTCGGTGGATCACAGAACGATTCGCGTCGTTAATTGACCTAGACACGACTCACTTGATCGTGATCTCGAACAGGAACTTCCGTCGATATAACGAAGAAGAGAGGTGAGTCGAAGGTGAACCTTGCTTCTTCTCGTCTACTTCCACTCGGGCCTCTATCCAACTTCTACTTCACGAGGATAATTCGTGCAGATTCCGTGGACGTTTACGCACAGTGGACACAACGTGACAACCATAATTTCTTCAAACGATCGAGACGGACTCGATTCCATCGATGGATTATACGCACATGCACGGCTGATTAAACGAAAAGAAAGAAAGAAAGAAAGAAACAGTTTCGACGAATCGGTTGAATTTCTCGTTCATGCGGGTCCTTCAGTGATGATACTGTGTGCGACGATAGTGGCCTTAGCTTCTTCTCGTGTGGATTTTTCGTTGTGATGGTTCTTTTCTTTTAATCGAGTATTCTTCGTTGGTTAGACAGAGGTATTCTTAGATTTGTTCTGTTAACGTTTCACAGTTAAACGCGGAGGATTTGGATTTTTAGTTAAACGGAACAGAATTTTGGAGATTGAAAGGTATCTCGTGAGATAGATGACGTTGAACGACAATTTTTGGGTAGATTCTCTGTTTATTTCACTTTTTCCCTGCTTCTTTTTAATGAGAAAAAAAGGAACGTTCGTTTATCTACCGTTAGCCGTGAGAATACGACGGCATGGGAATCCCGATGTCCCTCGTCGAAGGTCACGATAACCCTAGTGTCAAATGAAATGCTCTCGTGGTCCTGGGAAAGTTGCTCTTCTCGCGGTCGCATTGTTCTCTCATTGTTATACCTGAATTAACAATACCTTCTTTATAGATTATTCAACACTACTCGCACATTTTTCCTTCCTTCGATCCGATTAACTGAACATCTTCTTTCGAATTCTTTTTCAAATACAGTTCTCTTCAACTTCCGGAACACAAACTCGTGAAAAAAAAAAAACACAGAATTCTTCTGTAGAAGATTTGCGCAAACAGAGTAAAGTGGGATATCTAGAACACGCTTCATCCAACAAGGATAATTCGCAGTTTGAATATCATTCAAGCGACCTCATTTTTTATCGTATTCGATCCTCGTTTACGAACCAACGAAAGTTTGAAAAATGTGCGATTCACCAACGAGATTTCCTTCGTCGCTTCGTCGTCGTTGAACGCAACCAAAGTTCTTCCTGATTAGAACGATCTATACTTACGAGCACGGTCTAAATCGTTTCCGAGATAAAAGGAAAATCGTCGAGAAACTCCAATTTCTCCTTCGTTCGATCAAACGGATAATGTTGAAAAATTGTACTTTTCTTTGCAGAACCATGAAGTTAGCGATAGCATTGGCAGTGTTGTGCTGCCTGGCAATCGGGACATTCGCATCGCCAGTGCCAAAGATCTCCGAGGAGAAAACGTCGAATCAGAATGTGGTTGCAACCGGAAGACAAGCGGTACAACCACCAGCGGTCAGCGAAGACGACGACGACGACGATGACGATGACGACGACGACGTCGATTTTGATATTACCGGAGACGACGACGACGACGACGACGACGACGACGCCGACGATGATGACGATGACGACGATTCCGATTATCTGGAACGTTTTATCGAAGATATACTAGGTAATGTACCTGTTTTTCATCCTGCTCACGTAGAGAAGTAAGAATCCTTGTCTCCGTGCTGAAGGAATTCGAAATTCCTATCGTCGAAACTATCGGGAGATTGTTTATTCGGATCAGACGAACAGTTTGAAAATTATTGCAAATTGCAAAGGTTGAATATTTAAGAAAGTACCAGTATACGGATACTATCCGTAGTACACCAAATACATATATTAGGTCATCCCATAAATTAGTGCCAAATTTAAAAATTCAGATCAATATTTCCAACGAACCTTCAAATTTGACAAAAAAAAAAACGTAAGTACCTTCTCGTTCCACAAATTTTTCTATTTTTTTTTTTTAGTAATACCATTATGTCATTGCTACAGTATTTCTTTGAATTTTCATCAAATTATTTTTCGCTCTCGGCACGAACTTATGGGACGACCCAATAATAGCAAATGAAGATAAAAAAGTATTCTGTAATATTGAACGTTTAAATTCTGATACTGTTTAAGATTTTTAAAAATTTTTCTTCGATACTTTGTTATTAGAGTTCGATCGTTTCAGCTTAATCGTGGTATTTAAAAATGTTCTCAAGTGTTACTTCAATATTTTCGTTCTTTAAATAGTGTTTTCTCCAATTATTTGAAGAGATCCTTAATTTAGAGACCTAATCGTTATTCAGTTCTTCAACTCGAGCATTCGTAATATCCAAGCTTTCTCTATTTTACACTTCCAATCTCTTTTACACAAACAAGCGAAGAACAACGTGCGTTGATGTTCTCGTTTACATCGTGGGTGTGTAATGAAACGTGAAATTGAAGAATAGGAAAAATGTGCGGTGAATTCTGAATTAATTTTCGCGTTAAAAATTCCCTCGTCCGTTCAACTTTCTTCGTGTATCGTTACGAGTGACACGTCCAAGAGAATTTCGTCGAATCGAAGAATGGCGAGGATCGCGAAGAAACTTTGTCGGCCGTTACACAAACATTACAACCACGGGTTAGCGACATGTTCGGTTAACGACGGAAATTCTGGTGCGTTCACGTAGCTGTAACGGTACAAGATACTTCAAACTCGCCCGAATTAACATAAATCGACGGCGATCCCAGTCCGGAAAGAATTTCTACGCGCTACTTCTGTTACATTGACCCAGATTCGAAAAGATGAACTGTAACTGCCAGCATTTTTCGCGATTAACGCGGTCACTAAAGATGCTAAAACGATCGTTACTATTACCAACCGTGCATCGACTGATTTATTTCCTAATTCTCTATTATTTATCGTTGCGAATTCGCTCCTGAAGATGTTTATTCTCACTATGCTTAAATGTTAATCGAAAATTTCAAATTTGATAGGTATTTATTTTGCGTTAGCATTTCAGAGCTGAACTGAAGAACGTGTTGAAAAATTAGAAGGATAAATCTTGCGAAAGAAAGTGGGGGGAAAAGAATTGAAGAGTAAGAAAGAAGAAATTTGTAATTAAGTATTTCTTCAAACAGATCCTGTTTTTCTTTGTGTAAAGCTTTGAATTTTTATATAAATATTTATTTATACGTGATTTCTAAACAACGTTTTCAGTTTAATTGCTGTTCCTAAATTTATATTTATTAAAGTTCATTTTCCAAATCAGTTATGCGAGAATATTTGCAAACAATTTTTAAGACTGAAACTATAATTAGTTCTTACTAGAAATTGAAGTTTACTTTAGTTTCCTGAAAGTATATACACTTTTTACAGTAGAATTATTCCTTTCAGTTGTGACGTTAAGTTTTTTTTATTAATGCTTTCAAAGCAAAGGGAACAGCGACTCGTTAATCCGACCGATCAATTTTTCTCTCCTTGCAATCCTCTAGAATTATGTCAGTGACTATGAAAACGACTCGTTCAATTATTTCATACTAAATCGATCACCATCTCAATCAGATGCAAGTCTATTTACAGAAAATCTATTCAGACGAGCTTTCATTAACCATGATTATCATTCAATCACCTCCTAAGAATTTCCAAAAAAACTAAGTACCCATCGAGCTTCCATAAATCAACGTCTACAGAACTGATAAAATCTCCTAGTTACCAACAAAATTACCCCCTACCAAACCCGACAAGATCCTACAAAGTTAATTGAAACAAAAAATAATCCTCCGTTAATTACAGGTGAGGAAGACGACGACGACGACGACGACGAGCCGAGCGCGGTGGAACCGGCGGTTCCAGCAGCGGCGCCTCCGGCAGCGTCCGCACTTCCGGCGGCTGTCGAGGCCGACTTGAACTCCGCCGCTCAGGAAGCGGAACAATCCGCCGATTCGGCCGCAGAAACAACGGCCGCCGAGGGTGAAACTACCGGTGTCGAGGAGGACGATGGGAACGCCGTAGGTGATGGCCAGGCGTCTTCCGGCGTTCAGGAATCGGCCATCGAAGGTGCGGAGTCTGTGTCGAATCCTGTTCACGTACCAGCCGTGTCGACGAACGAGGCGGACAACGAGGACGAGGATGACGACGATGACGAGGACGACGTCGATCTGGTTTACACCGAGGACGACGACGACGACGAGGACGAGGACGAGGACGACGACGACGAGGACGACGACGATGTCGACAGCATCGCCGACATTGCTGGCGCCAGGCGAGCACGTGTTTTTCAGTACGGGGCGTAAACACGCGCGTAAATCTCGCACGCGTGCTACATCCCCTTCCCCAAAGGCTGTCGTATAAACAGGGAGGAGGGAAACGAGTGGCAAGTAGCGAACAACCAATTCCTGACAATCATGCGCTCAAATCCTGTATCGATTTGTCCGTGAACAACGGACAGACTGGTATTTCTTTTTTTCTGCCGGTCGTTCGGAGCTTTCGGATTTTAGGCTTTCTTGAGAGACGTCGCGCATGCTAGCTGTTCGTAGTTTCGAGAATGGGGCGTCTTTTGGAGAAATTTCTTTGTATGAAGTGAAGTTTGTTGTTTAGACACTTTTTGACAATGGGCGATATTTTTCAGCGAAATACTTAAATTTCTTCACTTTTTCAACTTTTTCTTCGTTCCAATTTGTACGATGACTGTTATCGTTTAGTAATGATTTTTGGTTAATGTATACGTTTACACTACCGGGCAAAAGTTTGGAATCACTGTGCATTGCAAATTACACGAAAATTTCAAGAATTTTTTAACAAATTTTTTATCGTTCAAAGCAATCGAAATAAAGTAAATTTCTATCGATCTCCGCAACACTAATTCCAAATTTACGAAGAATTATTAGCAAATTCGATATTAGTGTAAATTGGCAAGTGATATACGTCGTTCAAAATAAGAGTAACCTCGCTCTCGGACCGATTTTCGTCCGTTCTGCGCATAGACAGAGAGCGTAGCAGAGGGTAAGACGGAGAAAAACGTAGGTGGTTAAGTGGTGGTTTGGACGTTCTAGTGGTTCCAGCTCTGCCTTAGGCACGTCCCATGCGCGAAGCGAGGTTACTCTCATTTTGAACAGAGTATAGCAAACTTTTAACCGGTAGTATATAGAGCAATGCAAAATTTGTATAAGATCATTTTTTCTCATAGGATACTCGTTGTCCACATAAAAACAATAATCAAAGTAAACAGCTACCTTTCAAAATTTACAATTTCAACGAAAATTTCTTAAAATCAGTTACAAAGCTCATTAATCCAAAGGACTACCAAACAATCGAAACACGTTTCAACAGCAACCATGTAAACGCGCGTAGCCCAATAAAACTATCAAGCATAATTTGCTCACAAACGCCTCTCATCTACGATTCATCTTATCTCGTTCCGTTTGATCGGATTTAAGAATAACCGCATTACAAAATTACACCAATTCTCTAAAAGCTAATTCGGCAAAAACTAACTACTCTCTAACGACCAGTAGAACTTGCGCACTCGTTTGAAAACAAAAAAAAAGCAAAGCTCTGGATCGAGCTCGGTCGCGATTCGAGAAGCTCCTCTATTCACCGGTGCTGTTCGACACAATAACTTCGTTCTTCTTTCAAACGAAACTGTCTATCTCGATACAACCATCGCTTACACTTTGCTTCCAAAAAAAAAAAGAGAAAAAAGCAACAACTAACGCGTCAACGTCGAAGGAGATCTTTGATCGATCGTCCGCAAGCAACGATCGAGAAAGATCTCGCCTTCTTCCTCGACGAGCTACCTACTGCTTCCGATTTGGAAAAAAGTCGCTTGAAATTAAAGAAAAACAAAGTCTAATTGTAGCGGTAGACGTAGTGGTAGAGTGGTAGAACTAGCGATAGTATATTTATTTTATATTTATTAACATAAATACCTCTTCTATCTCGAAGTGATTCGCACGTGGTCGAACAGCATGGCAAATCGATAAGCACGCGTTCTTCGTTGTTCCAACGCGAGCTTGCACGACTTTCGTCCACGGCATCGAGTTAACTGTTAAACGAGCAACACCAAGTGAATTTAGAAGAGGCGAATTGTACATACGTTTTAGCCAAAGCTATTCGAAGATCGTGTAAGCGCCGTTGAATAGTAGGACGAAAGTAACGGAACGAAGAATTCAAAGTACCTTTCGATCTGTACCTGCAGATACTTCTCTTTCTTCTTTTCCTTCTTCCTCTTCTTTTTTTTCTTTTTCACGGTTTACATCTAGCGAAAAAGAAATTATCTTGCGCATGTTTATTTGCAACTTTGCCACACTCACAGTGTGTTTCACGATTCGTGCGATTTCACCTTTCTACGCTTCTTTTCTTATATTTATTTAGAAGAGTAAATTAACAACGCGGCTGTTGTTTCTTGTATTTATTTCAGAGAAGAGTTTGTTACAGCTACTTGCTTGCGACTCTTTTCTCGTATCTCCTTCAACTTCGATTAACATCGGACGAAACGTGGAACATTCTGTGGTGTTGAAGAAGTAATCGTGTAGAGATTAGAGAAATTTTCGATCGTGAAAGATATCTTGTATATTTGGAGCGATGTGAAACGGAGGGAAAAAAAGGTACTTTGGCGACATACGAAAAGATGAGTAGCATATGAAAATGCCTTGGTGACCTCACGTCACGTATTTCCCTTTTCTCCTCGGACCGTTTTATCGACTGATCGTCGAACGAACGAGGAACGAAGAGAGAGATTCCGTGTGTTTTTACGTAAGAATGAGAGAAAGAGAGCCGTCAAGTGAACGATGTCGTTAATTTGCTAGATAAGCAACACCGTAACTAGCCATTTAGATCTTTCAATCGTGCACAATTACTCGATTCTTCAACTTTCTTTCGCATTTCTTCATGCTTACGTTCTTTTCGCTTTACGTTCAAAATTTCGCCCGCAATTGTCTTGTAGTTTAAAAAATTTTCGTTTCTCTTCTTTCCAAAGTGCTTCCTTCTTCGATTGTCTTTATTTCGAGCAATGCGAGAAAAACGAAGGGAAAATATTCGCGAAACGAAATTATGGCTATGAAACGGCGTTGCTTATTGCGCAGGATTGTAACACTTCTGTCTGAAAAGAAGCTTGTACAGAGACATTGTCCGTTCTGGATTGCAAAAATACAGATAATTTATTGTTTTTACAAAAAAAAAAAAAAAATTGTGTCTTCCCTTTTTATTTCTATCACCATCGTCCGTTGTTCGAACCGGTTTCCATGTATTTGTCCAGTCACGCGTGATCCAGAGGATAACTTCTCTTTTCCTTTTTTCCTTGATCACGAAGGAAAAACGAGAAGAAAATCGAACGATATTCATTTTCCCATCGCGATGCACGGCTTTCATATAGCATTGGATCGTCTAAAGCTACTTTCTTCATTTAATGCGTGATGTGTTGTCACTTAGCTTTTTCAACCCTTCGCAGCAATTATCTTCTCTGTCTTTCACCGTAATATCAAATTGCTTCGAGGAAGTTGCGCGTTTTTATTCTTTTTTTCTTTACACCGTAATCGATCTTTTTTCAAGTTTTTTTTTTTGGATATCTTGAAAGTATCAAGGTACTCGTAGTTAATTGATAAAATATAATTTTAGTATGTTATTAAATACTTTTTTTTTAATTATTCAAATGAAAACAAGCTGCACAATATACAGGAAGAAAAGAATGGAGTTTGATTTTTATTTTACTATCTTTTGTAATTATTATTATTCAGAAATTTCCAGGCATAAAATAGCTGAAAAATTTTTGGTAATACCTATTACTATTGAATAATGTAATAGAAAAACAGAACTAAACCTCTAAACCGGAAGTGCCCTTTCAAAAATTCATAATTCGATCAATTATTGCCAGTGAAAAAAATAAATACAAGATTACTTTCAAAGATCACTCCAACGATACAAAGTAATCATTAAGATGGCTCTTTCTGAATTGTGCAACATTCTAATAATTCTTCTAACACCTGTAAATTCAAAAGTATATAACAACTTGAAAAAAGTTTAGTTCGAAATTTTCAGATGCAATTTAATTGCTAAATGTTATCAAGACGTGAATTACTCGATTTACGACAGATGTTGAATTAATTGGTTCAAAGGGTTGAATGATCGTTGCCGACAGAGCTTTTCCTTTTACTAAGGGATCTTTTTCGCTTGTCTTGTCACTCGTTCGTAGAAGTAGTACTGTAGCCCTTGCTTGAAAATTTTTTGCCTTATCCTTGACACCTATATGCACGTGTTTGGTGAACGGTTTTACGACACTATGACGACAATCACGTACATTATACTGGACGGTAGCACATCACTGTGGGCCTGCACACAAATTTCACGCCTTTTGTAGATGATAGACGCACAGTAGTTGCATAGTAGTACTAGCGAAGCAACGCACAGTATTGTAGAATGAAAAATTATGCCATCAATGTGCATAACAACATCGATAACGCAAACGCTGAACAAGCGTTGACTGTTTTTAGTAGCACGTGAGACTAGTGGTACTAACAAACTTTGGACACGTTAGACTGTTTCCATAATTATTTACTTATAGTATTTAGTTAAAAATGATTTTTTTTTTTTTAAGGGATAAGTAGAGTTGCTCGATACTTCTTAAGTTTTCGAGAAACTTAAGAAATTTAAAAGAAAGACTGCTGTGTTTCTTAAAAATTAACTAATTCTTCAATAATTCTTTAATAATTATTAGCTTTCTTCTGCATATAAATTAATAACGATATAATTTTCCTTAGTTTTACGAAGGAAACTACTCCCCATTTGGTGAAATTTTCACCTGTTAATAATTTCTGTATAATAATTTAAAAAATGTTCCAATGTTTAAAGAAATACTGTTTCTCGTTTAAAGAAGCAGTTTGGTAGTAAAGAAGCATAGGTGAAAAATAATTCGCATCGAAAGAAGGTACGCGGCCAATGGTAGATAAGAGACACCTAAAGATTTGAAAGCATAAGAACGAAAAAAAAAAAAAGAGCTTCAACATTAGAAACTACAATTATCCTTCTTAATGCTCTCTAAACTTCAGTCTTCGTAAAATGAAAATTCATATTGAACTGCTCCAGTTTATTTACTTCAGCTGTTTTATTCATTAGTTGACTATAAACATTAAACACCGAAGAAAAGTTACACTTAAATAATTCCAACTATGTTCACGAACTACTTCCTGCAAGAATACATTTCTCGTATTACATTAAGCAGTCCTCATTCTACTTGTCGTTCGCTACTTACGAAAGCTGCAAACCACATGTTCCATAAAAAAACACCGAATTCGTTTAA